TTGATTTAATAAAAACTACCTTCCTAAAGGCCTACGGTTTTGGCAAAGAGACTATGAAAATCAAGAGGAGGAGCAGAGAGAGAGAGAGAGAGAGAGAGAGAGAGAGAGAGAGAGAGAGAGAGAGAGAGAGAGAGAGAGGGAGAGAGAGAGAGAGAGAAAGAGAGAGAGAGAGAGAGAGAAAGAGAGAGAGAGAGAGAGAGGGAGAGAGAGAGAGAGAGAGAGAGAGAGAGATAAGAGAGAATGAGAGAAAGCACAATGGACAACGGTGTCCATGGCCCTAGGCATCAGCCCCTACGCACTAAGGGCAGGCACAACCATGTCCTACCAAGTGGACGACGGGGCAAGAAAAAAAAAAAAAAAAAAAAAGGGGGAAACGAGGAGAAGAAGAGACATGCGTTGACATGCGTTAACATTCCCGACACATTCGTTGACATTTCATTCAATTGTTCATTCTCTTCACACCTCGATCAATGGTTGCCCGTACAAGTACATGCACACGCATGCTTTAACGTGGAATACTCAAAGCTTATACCACTTGGCCTCAAATGTACAGGAGCACGACGGTGCGAGGCGGCATGCCACGACGATCCGTACGAATTTGCCGTTACAGACAGAACTATTACACACATGCGCGGTCGTCTTCGCGCGACATTTGCGTGGTGGAGCTCATGGTGCCCCAGCAGCCTTGTCCTCTCCGTCATCGCCAAGGGTTACTGGTTGCCATGGAGCCACGGCCCACCGCAACATTTCCACGATCGCAATCATGTCGGGGCAAACACGCATGCCACGTTCACACGTACCGCCATCCAAGAACTCATAGAGACGGGAGCGGCAATTCCGATGGCCGCAACGGAGCTTACATGCATAAGTCCACTCAACGTGGTCGAGCAAAAAGACAAATGCAGGCTCATTCTTGATCTGAGGAAAGTCAACGCCAACTTGATCATCCCCAAGTTCAAGTACGAAGGGCTCAGCCGCGTCGCCGACCTTGCGCGCGTTGGGGACTGGATGTTCTCCATTGACCTCAAATCTGGTTACCACCACATCGACATCCACCCATCGTGCTGGAAGTTCCTTGGCTTTGAATTTGATAAGCGCACATACGCATTCCGTTCACTACCATTTGGCCTCGCGACAGCTCCATTCGTTTTCACGCAGCTCATCAAGCAACTAGCTCGGCGTTGGCGAGAACAAGGCATCCGAGTCGTACCTTACGTGGACGACATCTTATTTCTCTGCCAGTCGAAAGAGGACGCGCAAGCAACTTGCCAGCGGGTGATATTGGATCTTAAAGAGGCAGGCCTTGTGATAAACGCGAAGAAATCACAACTGTCACCATCGCAGCGTCTCCGATTCCTGGGCGTAGAACTCGAGACCGATACCGGCCGATTCTCCATCGGTCCGGACCGACGAGCCTCACTACATGCAACCATCCGGAACCTCCTGAGCGCAAGCAAGGCATGCCGACCAGTCCCGGTCCGCCACGTGGCCAGAATCACTGGCATGCTCGCATCGATGGGTGTCGCACTTGGCGCGACAGCTCGCGCATTCAGCCATGCTATGTTACAAGTGATCGACGACGCACCGTCATGGAAAAGCAGCGTCGTTATCCCCCCATCTGCAGCAGAAGAGCTCCAATTTTGGCTCGAGGAGTTCGACCGTTTCAACGGCGCACCTTTTCACGTCAAGAACAGCTACGACGCGGTAATCCACGTGGATGCCAGCTCTCATGGTTGGGGCGCCACTCTGACCACATTTCCGGGTGGCATCGAAGAAGCTAGCGCAACCATGTCAGAGCCACTACGAGGAACGTTCAGCACGCGACGGGAGATCGAAGGCGTCCTTTGGGCGCTACAAACGTACGCGAACAAGATCAAGCAAAAACACGTTCTCGTGCGGGTGGACAACCAGGGCGTATTCTTCATCCTTCGCAAAGGCGGCTCTCACAGCCCCGACCTCACAACGGCATGCAAGAGCATCATCCGAACATGCATGGCGCTTGGCACGCGCTTGATCATTGAATGGATTCCGTGCGAGCTCAACACACACGCCGACGAGCTTTCAAAAATGGTCGACCACGACGATTACGCGCTGAAAACGCCGTGGTTCCGGATCTTGGAACGTCGTCGGGGTCCTCACTCCATCGACCTTTTCGCAAACTCCCGCAACACCCAACTGCCGCGCTTCTGTTCAAAGATTCCCCACCCGGCAGCCATTGCAGTTGATGCGTTCTCGATCGCGTGGACACCTGAAAACAACTTCGCCTTCCCCCCACCTCAACTGGTCCCAGCCGTCCTCCATCACGCACAACGCACCCATGCATCACTCACACTGATAGTTCCGCACTGGCAAGGCGCAAGCTGGTGGCCACTCTTGCAACCCTCCCCACGCACTTGGGCACCACACATCCACGCGCACATCACTCTGACACACGGAAGCCAATGCCTAGACGTAGGGTCCCATTCAACTGCTTTTTCGGGCATGGGACTACCGCACAGCCCAATCATTGCACTGCGAGTGGCATTTGACTAATTCAAAATATATACACCTTGTGTTCAGATTTGCTCCCAAAGTTACACGACCAACTGATCAACATGCTCGCGCAGCCCCGCGCCGATTCTACGATCCGGACATATGAACCATACTGGGCCAAGTTTCGAGCCTTCTGCACAAAAGTGAACCTTCCATTCCTCCCGGCATCCGACATGACCCTCGCGCTATACCTGGTACACGCAATCCGACGCAAAGCCACCCTGTCCGTAGTGCAGCTAACCTGCTCGGCGGTCAGCTTCGCCCATCGCATGACCGGGAGCAAATGCCCGACAACCGGACCGTTCACCACCCAAGTCCGTGACTATGCAAAGCGACACTGCCCACGCCCTACTCGTCTGAAGGAACCCGTCTCGATCCAACAAGTCCAGGAAATGGCCGCGAGCTACTTGCAGTCCGACGATCCTGCGCAATTTCAGAAAGGGTTGATACCCATCCTCATGTACTCCGGATTCCTGCGATACTCTGACCTAGTAGCCATAAAATGGCAAGACATCCAATTCGACGACGAGGTCATGTGGATTCTCATACCACACTCCAAGACCGATCAAGCTGGTCACGGCACTTGGATACCCATTGCAGCAACGGCGGACCCCTGCTGCCCAGTGCGCTGCACCCGACGCTTCATCCGACTCGCTGGCTATGGCCCACGGTCAGAGGGACCATTGATTCGTGTCTTCGGTCACGGTTCAACCAGCGAGGGCCAGGCTAGGCCACCTTCATACACTACGATCCGGAACTGGTGCAAGGAAGCCTTCGCAAAGGTTGGCCTTGGAGAGTTGCAGCTAGGCACCCATTCTTTCCGAAAAGGTGCAGCCACAGTAGCAGCCAACACGGGAGTGCCAGACAGAGTCTTCAAACGGCTGGGCAGATGGCGAAGCGACACAGCAAAGGAAATGTATGTTACGCCATACGTCGAGCCCCTCATCGAAGCCTCCCGTACCCTACAAGATTCGACGCATGCGGTGTCATCGGCGCAACACACAGAGGCACTCGTACGCAACCGGAGGCCCCCGCTGCCCATGTCTCAGAGACCCCATTTGTAATGAGAACGATGCCAATTGATAAGAAAGAAAGCAAGCTTTCTCAATATTATAATTTTTAAACACACATGTAGTGTTTTTTAAAATTGTGTATTGTGAAAGCGAAGCTGCTTGTACTGCACAATTGGCATCGTCGAAGCGCGCTAAACGCCCTTCTCCAACTACAAAAACCGTGGGTTGGAGCTCATTTCCCTCCACCCACGTTTCTCAATTTTCAAACGGCTCACTCAACATTCCCACCACCCACCCCAGTGTAAACCGCCTTGCTAATGCCACTTGGATAGGGTACATAATAGCTAGTGTTATTAGTCCGCACTAGCTTATGTCGAACGATGATGCAAATGTTGTAATACGCCATTTGTAATGAGAATGATGCCCATTTGTAATGAGAACGATGCCAATTGATAAGAAAGAAAGCAAGCTTTCTCAATACGTGCAAAAACAACACATAACAATAGCGAGTGAATGCTAAGATGCATCGGTGCTACAACAGAGATGGTTCCGGTATGCTAAGGCGAGCAACGCTGCCCCAACAACGATCCCCACCTCAAATGTAGACCCGACACACTTCAGCATCACACGTCAGTTGCACACACGAGACAGACAGGTGCAAACAGACAAACGCACACATCGCACACACAAGCTCACACGCACACGTACACACACGCATAAGCACACGCACACACTGATACAGAGACCGCAATAAACACGCAACCATCATGAATAAAATTCAGAAATGCATAAAATAACTGCTAGCCTATCCCACCTTACCCTCCTTACAACCCTCCCTCCCTCCTTCCCTCATCTCCATCCCACTCCCTCCCTCATCTCCCTTCTCAGCTCATGTGCCCTGCACAAAGCAAAAACAGAGAAGTCAACACACATACGCCCTGCACAAAGCAAAAACAGAGAAGTCAACACACACACGCCCTGCACAAAGCAAAAACAGAGAAGTCAACACAAACACGCCCTGCACAAAGCAAAAACAGAGAAGTCAACACAAACACGCCCTGCACAAAGCAAAAACAGAGAAGTCAACACAAACACGCCCTGCACAAAGCAAAAACAGAGAAGTCAACATCTACACGCCCTGCACAAGAAAGCCAAAACAGAGAAAGCAACAGCACACCTTGCCCAAAAAAACAGTTTGTGATCACACACTGTACAAGAAAGCCAAAGACCAAAGGCCATAACGCTAGCGCTTCAAGCGCGGCACATTAGGTGCCATGCCAGCGCCCAAGCGTTAGAGCGTGCTGAGCGAGCGTGCTTGGCACTAGCTCGCTAGTTGCCAGCGGCCTAGACGAGCGTCTGAGGCCTCGACACCTTAGCCGGCACTCTAAGCGCTAGTGCAATAATTGACACTCATTTGTATAAGTAGCCCCAGTTGCCCAAGCACCAGCAGAATAGATGCTAGTGCCTATGCCCCAGCATGCTCATTCGCTCTTTCACGAGCTCTCTCACGCGCTCTTTCACGCGCTCTCTCACGCACTCTCTCACGCGCTCTCTTACGCGCTCTTTCACGCGCTCTATCACGCACTCTCTCACGCGCTCTCTCGCGCGCTCTCTCACGCGCTCTCTCGCATGCACTCTCAGGCACACTCTCACGCGCTCTCTCTCGCGCACTCTCACGCGCATTCTCTCTCTCACGTGCTTTTCCACTCGCTCACTCACGCGCTCTCGCACGCGCTCTCTCATGCACACTCTCACGCGCACTCTCACGCTCTCACACGCGCTCCCTCACGCGCTCTCTCACGCGCTCTCTCACGCGCACCCTCACGCGCACCCTTATGCGCTCTCTCACGCGCTCTCTCATGTGCACACTCACGTGCTCTCTCACACGCACTCTCAGGCACACCCTCACGCACATTCTCTCTCGCGCACTCTCACGCGCATTCTCTCTCTCTCACGCACTCACTCACGCGCTCTCTCATGCGCACTCTCACGCACACTCTCACGCGCACTCTCACGCTCTAACACGCGCTCTCTCATGCGCTCTCTCACGCGCTTCTCTCACACGCTCACTCACGCGCACCTCACGCACACCCTCACGCGCTCTCTCATGAGCTCTCTCACGCTCTCACACGCGCTCTCTCACATGCTCTCTCATACGCAACCTCACGCGCTCTCTCACGCGCTCTCTCATGCGCTCTCTCACGCGCTCTCTCACGGGCACCCTCATGCGCTCTCTCACGCTCTCTCTCACGCGCTCTCTCACGCACTCTCTCACGCGCTCTCTCACGCTCTCACACGCGCTCTCTCACATGCTCTCTCATAAGCAACCTCACGCCTCTCTCACGCTCTCTCTCACACGCTCTCTCACATGCTCTCTCACACACTCTCTAATGCGCACCCTCACGCACTCTCATGCGCTCTCTCTCATGCACACCCTAACGCGCTCTCTCATGCGCTCTCTCACGCGCTCTCTCACGCCCTCTCTCACGCGTTCTCTCGCGCGCTCCCTCGCACCCTCTCCCGCGCTCTCTCACACGCTCTCTAATGCGCACCCTCACGCGCTCTCATCCGCTCTCTCATGCGCACCCTCACGCGCACCCTCACGCGCTCTCTCACGCGCACACTCACGCGCTCTCTCACGCGCTCTCTCACACGCACTCTCAGGCACACCCTCACGCGCATCGCGCACTCTCACGCGCATTCTCTCTCTCTCACGCACTCACTCACGCGCTCTCTCACGCGCTCTCTCACGCGCTCTCTCACGCACACTCTTACGCGCACTCTCACGCTCTAACATGCGCTCTCTCATGCATTCTCTCACGCGCTTCTCTCACACGCTCACTCACGCGCACCTCACGTACACCCTCACGCGCTCTCTCACGAGCTCTCTCACGCTCTCTCACATGCTCTCTCATACGCAACCTCACGCACTTTCTCATGCGCTCTCTCACGCGCTCTCTCACGGGCACCCTCACACGCTCTCTCACGCGCACTCTCACGCGCTCTCTCACGCACCTCTCACGCGCTCTCTCACGCTCTCACACGCGCTCTCTCACGTGCTCTCTCACACGCACTCTCAGGCACACCCTCACGCGCATTCTCTCTCGCGCACTCTCACGCGCATTCTCTCTCTCTCTCACGCACTTACTCACGCGCTCTCTCATGCGCTCTCTGACGCACACTCTCACGCGCACTCTCACGCTCTAACACGCGCTCTCTCATGCGCTCTCTCACGCGCTTCTCTCACACGCTCACTCACGCGCACCTAACGCACACCCTCACGCGCTCTCTCACGAGCTCTCTCACGCTCTCACACGCACTCTCTCACATGCTCTCTCATACGCAACCTCACGCCTCTCTCATGCGCTCTCTCACGCGCTCTCTCGCACGCTCTCTAATGTGCACCCTCGCGCGCTCTCATGCGCTCTCTCATGCGCACTCCAACGCGCTCTCTCATGCTCTCTCTCACGCGTTCTCTCGCGCGCTCCCTCACGCCCTCTCCTGCGCTCTCTCACACGCTCTCTAATGCGCACCCTCACGCGCTCTCATGCGCTCTCTCATGCGCACCCTCACGCGCTCCCTCACGCGCTCTCTCACGCGCTCTCTCACGCGCTCTCTCACGCCCTCTCTCACGCGTTCTCTCGCACGCTCTCTCGCGCGCTCTCTCGCACGCTCTCTCGCGCGCTCTCTCCTGCGCTCTCTCCTTCGCTCTCTCCTGCGCGTTCGCTCCCGTGCACACGCTCTCCCTCGCGCTTGGTCTCTCCCCTTCGTCAGATGAAAGTGCAATGCAAGAGGAGACCAATTGACACAGGGCAAGAAACAGGGGAAATTCAGAGGGGGAAGGAGGATGAAAGGACCGGGAACGCACCTGATAACCACGGTGCCTCAGAAAACAACCCGCGCTGGCGCACCTACCCGCGCTCCGCGCACCAACCCGCGCTTGCGCTCGTGCACCCGTCGCCGGAGGCGATGGCGGGGAGGGAAGGAGAGGCGACGGCGGGGAGGGAAGGAGAGGCGACGGCGGGGAGGGAAGGAGAGGCGACGGCGGGGAGGGAAGGAGAGGCGACGGCGGGGAGGGAAGGAGAGGCGACGACAGGGAGGGAAGGAGAGGCGACGGGAAGGAGAGGCGACGGCAGGGAGAGAAGGAGAGGCGACGGCGGGGAGGAGGGAGAGGCGACGGCGGAGAGGAGGGAGAGGCGACGGCGGAGAGGAGGGAGAGGGGACGGCGGAGAGGAGGGAGAGGCGACGGCGGAGAGGAGGGAGAGGCGATGGCGGGGAGGAGGGAGGGGCGACGGCGGGAGGAGGGAGAGGCGGCGGCGGGAGGAGGGAGAGGCGGCGGCGGGAGGAGGGAGAGGCGGCGGCGGGATGGGAGGGAGCAGCGACGGCGGCTGGAAAGGAGGGAGGGGCGGTGGCGGGATGGGAGGGAGCGGCTACGGCGGCTAGGAGGGAGAGAGACGCGATGGCGGGGTGGGAGAGAGCGCGACGGCGGGGTGAGAGGGAGAAGGACGGAAAGGAGTAAGGGACAGCTAGACGGTAGGTAAGGCGCGACTGCAGGATTGGGCGGGAATGGGCGGATTTGGAGGGAGAAGCAAGAAGCAAGAAGCAAGAAGCAAGAAGCAAGAAGCAAGAAGCAAGAAGCAAGAAGCAAGAAGCAAGAAGCAAGAAGCAAGAAGCAAGAAGCAAGAAGCAAGAAGCAAGAAGCAAGAAGCAAGAAGCAAGAAGCAAGAAGCAAGAAGCAAGAAGCAAGAAGCAAGAAGCAAGAAGCAAGAAGCAAGAAGCAAGAAGCAAGAACCAAGGAGACGGAAGTCGAATTCGAGCAGACAGGTGTGAAAGGAAATAAGTACACTGCTTCCCACTATAGTAAATTGTAAGCGCAATACAGTAAGATGGATGTAAAAAAATATTGCCTATTATAAACACAAAAAAACATTTCACATCCAAATAGTTCTCTGTTAATACACATAAGAATCACTGAGTAAAAAAATAACAGCATATCTGCAAAAAGCAGCAAAAGAGGAATTTTGAAGCTTATTCCATTCTAACCAAATATAATTAACATTCAAACTTGCTTTACATCAGTAAATTTTCATATTCACCATCATAATGTTTCTTGTACGAGGATATAATTTTGAAGCTTATTCCATTCTAACCAAATATAATTAACATTCTAATTTGCTTTACATCAGTAAATTTTCATATTCACCATCATAATGTTTCTTGTACGAGGATACAATTGTTACGAGTGCAATTGAGTAAATGAACGAGAATTGCACTATCGAAGCAAGAATCCAATGAGCGAAGGCATGAGCGAAGAATATATAGCGAAACTACAGTAATAACGATAATGGACTGTGGTTGTCGCGTGACGGGCCTGGGACTGAGGTTTGGGAAAGTGTCGAAGCGGAGGCCCGGAGCGCGGGTTACCAGCCGAGCCGTGAGGTTGGGGTGCGATGTGCGAAATTGGCGGGCTGATTGTCGATGCGAGGGTCGCGAGTGGTAACGGTGTTGACTGTGGTGCTATAGTGATGTACGCGTTGAGCAGGGATGCGAAGTAAGGAAAAATGATTTTCCTTACACTACCCCCCCTCCTAAGGAGGTCCTCCTTACGAAAGAGCGTGGACGTCCCTGAAGTGTCGGCTGCGCAGATATTCGGTGAGAATAGGGTGGTTTTCGATTCTGTCCAGGGGAACCCAATTGTCTTCGGTGGGTGTACGGTCTTTCCAGCGGATCAGGAACTCGATCTTTCGGGCTCCTCGTCGGTCACGAACTCTGTGGCTCAAGATTTTGTCGGGGGTGATGATTGGTTCGGTTGGCGGTCGTGCCATGCTGGCTGGGCGATTTCGTGGGAGTTGGCTTCTGGATGGGACGTAGTGGCGAAGCAGGCTGACGTGGAACGAGGGGCTGACGTACCAGTCAGCAGGGAGGAGGAGGTGGGCGGTGACGGGTGTTATCATGTGGCTGATACGAAATGGCCCACAGTATCGGGGGCGGAGTTTGGGTGTGATGGGCAGTCGGAGGTTCTGGGTGTCGAGTAAAACTAGGTCGTCGGGCTGGTAAGTGGCAGGTTTGCGGTGGCGGTCGGCGTTGCGTTTAGCGATGATGTTCGATTTTTTGATTGCGTCTGCTGCCCTGGTCCGTGCCGCTTGCAGAATTTCAGCGAACTGTTGCGCGCGTGGAACCGGGTTGTCGGGATTCGGGGTCATGGGTACTGTTGGGTCTTGTCCGTAATTCAGGTAAAACGGTGACTGTTGGGTCGTGGCGGATGGGGCGTTGTTGTATGCGAATTCGATGAGTGGCAGTTGTGTCAGAACATTATAGCTTATGCTTTTGTGTAGGCTATAGTGGGGTATCCCATAGGGGGTACAACCCAATTAGGGTTAGTACTTGTACCCACTTCATTCATAGTCCATCTCATTCACGTTCACTCTTTCACATGGAATCAGAGTAGGTCCCCTCCTAGGGACTGTTCCCAGGGCCCACCGAAGCGCGCCCCGAGGCGCGCGTTCCTTTTTTTTTAGCGACCCTCCGTGTCGCCCCTAGCGGCCCGTTACGCCGCCCTTACCTACGCGGCCCCGCCGCCCTTACCTACGCGGCCCCGCCGCCCTTACCTACGCGGCCCCGCCGCCCTTACGTCGCGGCCCCGCCGCCCTCACGTCGCGGCCCCACCGCCTCACCTACGCGGCCCCGCCGCCCTCACCTTCGCGGCCCCGCCGCTCTTACCTACGCGGCCCCGCCGCCCTTACCTACGCGGCCCCGCCGCCCTTACGTCGCGGCCCCGCCGCCCTCACGTCGCGGCCCCGCCGCCCTCACGTCGCGGCCCCGCCGCCCTCACGTTGCGGCCCCGCCGCCCTTACGTCGCGGCCCCACCGCCCTCACGTCGCGGCCCCGCCTCCTCACCTTTGCGGCCTCGCCGCCCTCACCTTCGCGGCCCCGCCGCCCTTACCTACGCGACCCCGCCGCCCTTACCTACGCGCCCCCGCCGCCCTTACCCACGCGGCCCCGCCGCCCTTACCTACGCGGCCCCGCCGCCCTTACGTAGCGGCCCCGCCGCCCTCACCTACGCGGCCCCGCCGCCCTCACCTTCGCGGCCTCGCCGCCCGTGCCTACGCGGCCCCGCCGCCTTCTCCTACGCGGCCCCGCCGCCCTCACGTCACGGCCCCGCCGCCCACACCTTCGCGGCCCCGCCGGTCTCCCCTCCTGCCGAGCCGCCCGAGCAGCCGCCCGCCACGCCGCCCGGTACCGGAGCAGCCGAGCCGCCCAGCAGCAACCGCCGGGCCGCCTGGCCGCCGAGCCGCAGTTCAGCCGAGCCGCCCAGCAGCAGCCGCCGGGCCGCCGAGCCGCAGTACCGCCGAGCCGCCCCGCAGCCGAGCCGCACTACTGCCGAGCCGCCCGACCTGCCCTGTCTGGTGAGCACAGCCCCACTGCTACTGCATGCCCTTCCCCCACTGCTTGCACTGCTAGTCTGTCATCATGGCTACCCCTAGTGTCCTCGCTTTTGACGCTGAGGGTCGAGCCATTGACTTTGAGGTCTGGGTCGACGACCTGCAGCTGTTTTTACAGTGCGATAGGGCGGACGGTCTTTCTCTCTTTGACCTCACCTCTGGCGCCTTCCCTGCTCCTGCTGCTGATGCTGACCCCACTGTTCGCTCTCAGTGGGCCACCCGCGATGCTGCTGCACGTCTTGCTGTGCGTCGCCACCTGCCTACCACTGAGCGCGCGCACTTTAGTCAGTACAAGAGTGCTCAGACCTTGTACGACGCGGTAGTTGCGCGCTACTCTTCCCCTGCCACTGCTGCACTGAGCCGCCTCATGCTACCGTACCTCTTTCCTGACCTTGCTGCCTTTCCTACAGTCGCTGACCTCATCACGCACCTCCGCACTTCTGACACCCGCTACCGCGCCGCACTTCCTGCTGAGTTTTGCGCCAAAACCCCCCCCCCCCATGTACATCGCTCTCTATTACATAGTCACTCGCCTCCCTGACTCCCTTCGCGTAGTCAGGGACCACTTCCTCTCAGTCTGTCCCACCACCCTCACTGTCGACCTCCTCGAGAAGGCCCTCCTAGCGGCGGAGAAGAGCATAGTCGCTGTAGGAGCCTCTCGTGGTGACCCGCGCACCCCCATCTTTGAGGGGTGTTCTCCTTCCCCCCTGCTGCCCTCTGTTGCCTCTGTTGCTGCTGCCGACCTGCTTGGTCTTGAGTCGGTCGGCGCGGCGTCTGCCCCTAGCGGGAGACACCGCCCTGGCAAGGGCAAGGGGGGCAAGGGCGCGGGTGGAGCTGGCGGGGACGGTGGAGGTGGCAGTGGCGGTGGCGGAAAGAGTGGGGGTGGCGGTGGGAGTGGTGGTGGGGGTGGTGGTGGTGGTGGCGGCAGCGGAGGCGGCGGCGGTGGCGGCGGCGGCGGTGGGAGCGGAGGCGGCGGTGGTGGCGGAGGTGGAGGCGGCGGTGGCGGAGGAGGTGGAGCCGGTCGGGGTAGTGCCCCGCAGCGGAGCGGCTCTGGTGGTGGTCCGCGCCAGCAGCAGCAGCAGCAGCAGCGTTCTCGGGACATCCCCCCGCCTCAGCAGCTCTGTGAGTGGTACACGCAGCGTCAGCGTGGTGGGGGTCTTGGCCCGTGCACCTACGTTCTTCGTTCCGGCGACCGCGCGGGTGAGCAGTGTGGGGGTGCCCATTCCACCCAGCGCTGCTTTGGCCGCCTGACGGACGCTTGGCGTCAGCAGTTCCCCGAGGCTAGTGAGATTCCCCGCTGGGGAGAGCTGTCTAGGGCTGGCGTAGCGATCTTTGATCTTGACTTTGATGCTATCCTTGCTGCCATGTATGCTGTGACTATTAATGATGAGGGTGACTGTTACCGGTGTTTCCCGCCCGACCCGGGCATTGGTACTGCTGCGCTAGGTGCTTGTGAGGCTACTGCTCTAGGTGACAGTGCGTCTGCACTCTCAGGTACTGGTGAGGCTGCGCTCTCAGGTACTGCATCGACTTCGGCCTCCCTCACCTTCACACTTGACTCAGGGGCTTCTCGCTCCTTCTCTCGAGACTGCACCACACTCACGCCGCTTGGTCGGCCGGTTGCAGTCTCCCTGGCTGACCCCTCTGGGGGTCCTGTCCTCGCTCACTTCTCCACTGTCCTCCCGTGTCCGGCTGCCCCCTCGGGCACCCTGTCGGGTCTGTACCTCCCCTCGTTCTCGACGAACTTGGTGAGTGGTGCTGAGCTGCAGATTGCGGGGGTTCACCAGTTTACTCCTGCGAGTCAGCGGGGGACCCACTGCTCGGACGCCCGCACAGGCCGACACCTAGCCACGTTTTCGCGTCGGCCCGGGTCGAGTCTCTACAACCTGACCACTGAGTCTCCTCCAGTCCCTGCGTCTGGCCAGGTAGCTGCGTCGGGTCAGGTGTTTGCTGCTGCGTCCAGGTCTGGTCCTGAGTCGCCCCCTGCTCGTGTCGCCTCCT